ACAGATAAAGTTAAAGGACAACTGTGAAACATACTGAAGATGTGGGGGAGATGGTGGTCTGCCATGATGCCCTGATGCCATGATGCAGGGGAGGGCAGAAAGATCTTCCAAAGGAAGTGGTTGAGCTGGTATCTAGAGGCTGGTGGGAGAGAAGAGGGAAAAGAATTCCATCAGAATATATAGCAAGTGCCAAGGCTTGAGAGCAAGAAGGAACATGGTACCTTTGAAGCACTAAAAGACGGTGAAGGCTAGGCATTGAGTTGGAGGCTTTTAGGTCAGTTTAAAGATAAATTTAAAAAATTATCCTAATAGCGATGGGAAGCTATTGAAATATTTTTATGTGTGTGTGTTTGTATGTGTGTTTTGTGTGTGTGTATGTGTGTCTATCATAACCAGATCTGCCTTTTGTAAACACTTTGGTTGTTGGACGCAGATCGTAAGGAGGGAAGCTGTCAATTGCCTAGTTCTGAGGCCACTGTAGCAGTGTAGGTACATAAATAAATAGCTTGCATTGGGTAATGTATCAGGCTGAAAAATGGGCCCCCAAATTTTCACTCTGCTAGCTTACCTTACCAGTAGGCTCACTACCTCACTGCTTGTGAGGCAGAGGTAAATTAAGGATCTTGATCTGGGGAGATAATCCTAGATTATCCAGGTGGGCTCAATGTGATCCTTATAAGAGGGAAAGAGGAGGATCACAGTCTGTAGTGCAGGAGAAGCAAGACATTGGAGGGAGGCAGGGAAGGAGCCATGGGCCAAAGAATGCAGGTGGCCTCTATAGAAGCTAAAAAAAGCTAGAAAACAAATTCTCCCCTCAGAACCTGTAGAAGGAACCAGCCGTGACTATATGTTGATTTCCGACTTCTGGCCACGGGAGTTTTAAGATAATAAATTTGTGTTTTTTATTTTTAATTTTTTTAAAAGATTTTATTTATTTGAGAGTGAGCATGAGTGGGGGAGGGGTAAAGGGAGAGGGAGAGGGACAAGCAGACTCCCCACTGAGCGGGGAACCTGATGCGGGGCTCAATCCCAGGACCCTGAGATCATGACCTGAACCCCAGTCAGACACTTAACCGATTGAGGGACCCAGGTGTCCCAAATTTGTGTTGTGTTAAGCTACCAAGTTTGTGGTAATTTGTAGCATTAGGAAATAATAGGAAACAAACAGATATAGTGAAATGGAGATTGATAGAAATTAATGGATTCAAGAGACTTTCAGAAGGTAAAATTGGTAGCACTTTGCAATAGATTGTATTTGCAAACGAGGGGGTGTCAAGGGTGACTCCTGGGTATTGATTCTTATTATTCAGATAGTATCTCACAGCATGGGTGTAGATCTCATTTTCATATTGAAAACCAGATAGTTTCTGAGTATGAGGATCTAGACAACAATAATTAAATTTTGTATGCAAGTTAGTAAATTAACTGAAGGGAAGTCATATTTTGAGGGTCATGGTATTTGACTGTCAGATAGTAGCAACTGAAAAGCAATGGTTAGGAGGATTACAATCAAGGGTCTGAGCGAGTATCTTCCCTGGGATAACTTTACATTCATTATAGAAGCATGACAGTTCTCTTTATATGCTTCCTGTAACAGTAATTAGATGTTGTCTCTACAGGCTATTTTATTATCTCTAATTGTTCCAAGTGCCTTACAGAGCTGCCTAATTGGAGGATCTCAGCACTGAATTACAGGTGTGTTAGAGGTGCTGCTGGTCTCAGCCTCTGGCTGATCTGGGCGGGATCTGGGGCAGCAGAGTTTGGGGCCTGGCTATATCCTCTCAGTGAGTCTCACCTGATTATTCCACTATATCCTAAAGATGTGTAATATACTGTGTGTGCTATATGGGAAAAAGATTGGGAAGCACTTCCCTTTGGTGTTCCTTCCAGAGAGTCTTCCATGGATGTCTTGCATCAGAATCCTTGGTGGGGATATTGGGTGATAATCCTGAAAGATGATTTTTAGCCCACAGCTGTTAAATCTACCTGTCTAACATTTCTTAAATTCATCCCCTTGTTCATCCTGCCACCTGAGTTTAGGCTCCCATCCTCTCTTGCCTAACTTAGTGTGATGGTTTTCATGCAATTCTATTGATTACCAAACCAATGGCCATTCCTTTCCCTCTTGCTAGGTTGGCAGAGACCAATTTGCACTCTAGCAGCAGAAAATGCCCAGTATATGCTTTTCACAGCCCAACCATGAGATGTGATTCAGTTCTAGACTATGGGAGCCAGAGGGAATCCACTGTAAGGCAAATATGAAATGAATTCTTTGGAGATAGTAAATCCAAAGGAGCTGTGGGAGAAGAGGTCCTATTTTTTGCTTCCTGGTTTTGGATGTTGATGCATAAGAATGTGAAGCATGCACCTGCTGTAGTGATCCTGCAGCCAATGGGAGAGAACTGAGAGGGTCCTTGCAGTGAACCAGTGAACCCTGACGTTGCCACGCCCTGATGCATGTATTCTTGGAATGGCCTGTGTTCTTGTTTCTTAGTAGTCATGAAAAATAAGCTCTTTTTGTATAAGCAGACTTCAGCTTGGGTTTTTGTAACTTGCAGCCAAAAGCATTCCTAGTGAATACAATTTTAAACCCAGTCTTCATACATACCTCCAGGATTTCCCCATTTCAATTCATTCTCCACACTGACTGAGTAGCCATCTTTCTGAAATGCCAAGCTGATTATGTCACCCACCCCTGGCTGAGTGCATTAGGGTGTATCCTTTGCTTCCACGGCTCGTACAGTTTCACATGCCTCCGATTACCTTTTCAGTCTCAGCTTCTGTTAATTCTCCTGTCACTATGGCTATGGTCCCTTTGAATTGTCTGTGACTCCTGGAAGACACTGTAGTATTTAACACCTTTGAGACTTTAAAACCCTTCTTTCTGGAATATTCCCTAAATCCACTATCCCCCTAACCAATACTCACCCATTTTCAAGACCCAGCTCAAATATTTATCCCTTCCATAAGGAAGCTTTCCATGGCCACTACCCCCTAGTTCAAGGAGACTTGTTTCACTCTCTCCGTCATCCCTGAAGTCTACAGAAGGCAGTATGGACTTTCAGGGTAGAATGTATAACATTGCTTATTCATTTATTTATCATTTTCCTTTGAATTACCATTTCTCATTCATCTTCAGATCCCTAGAACCTAACAACACACCTGGAACACAGCAGATGTCTAATAAATGTCTCTAAGAATGTGTTTGAAAAGATAAATGGAAAGATCATGTTTGTATTACAGAGTAACCACTGACATATATTTTTTTTTTTTACTTTTTTTTTTATTCTTATGTTAATCCCCATAAATTACATCATTAGTTCTAGATGAAGTGTTCCATGATTCATTGTTTGTGCA